TTAAGTTGTGGACTGTCCAAGGCATCTATGAACTGATCCCTCAGCAACAACTTGAGGAGATCGGGTAGACCTTGTGTGCCATGCTTTCCAAGTCCTGTGCCAGCTCTTGCAGGCTCTCCCCTCTAGCACGGACTCTCGTTCTAAACCTGGCCCTATAGACGTCTGACTGATTCTGGGTTCCGTACCTGAGTTACAGAGCCTCTACCAGTGCTCTATAGTTGTGTCTGTCGGCTGCTGTCAACTGTCCAAGTATTTCCAGTGGTTGTCCCTTCAAGCTCGTTGCCAGATATACAGCTTTTTGTTCCTCTGTCCATCCATTCATCTCTGCCAGTAGCTCGAATTGTGCTCTATATGCGTCCCACGAAACAAGAAGAACGAGAAATTAAACAAGAAGAGAGATTACAGCAGTTGTTAGAGGAAAAAGAAAAGAAACAAGAAGAACGAGAAATTAAACAAGAAGAGAGATTACAGCAGTTGTTAGAGGAAAAAGAAAAGAAACAAGAAGAGAAATTACAGCAGTTGTTAGAGGAAAAAGAAAGAAACAAGAAGAACGAGAAAATAAACAAGAAGAAAGATTACAGCAGTGGCAATAAAACCTACAACAATGGCAGCTCGAACAGCAAAGTAAACAAGAGAGATTACAACAGTTGTTGGAGGAAAAAGAAAATAAACAAGAAGAACGAGAAAAGAAACAAGTAGAGAGATTACAGCAGCAACTGGAACAAGAAAGGAAACAGGAAGAAAGTCTCCAACAGTTGCAGGAAAGTCAGCAGCAACTACAAGAAAGTCAGCAGCAACTACAGGAAAATCAACAACAATGGCAAGAGGTACAAATGGAAAACATCAGTAAATTTAAAAGCGAATTAGATACGTTAAAGAACGATTTGTTGTGTGTTACACAAGGAGGATACATTGACCATCGACTTAATCAGCCCCAGACAATGGCAAGCCCCTTACAGAGCTCGCAGCTAAACCCTAATGCAGACATATTCAGTCCCGTTAGAAGTCACATCCCAGATATGAATGTCAGTAATAGGAGTGATCCAGTGTGAAGGAAGCCACAGGAATTCGATGGGAAGGCACCTTTTGTTGTTCGAGCTGCCATTGTTGCAGGTTTTCTTGCAACTGCTGTTGTCTCTCTTCTTGTTTCTTTTGCTTTTCTTGTATTGCTGCCATCAAACCTGCTAAACTGTAGTTTGATTTGCCGCTTCTCGTTTCCATCTTCTCTTTTTCTTTTTTTTTATCCCACTCTTTGACACCAATTTGTTACGTCTCCGTTTGTTAATTGATTTTCCGTAACTTCGTTCCGACGAAACTTTAGCGACACAAGTCTTTACTTAATAAAACTGGTTTATTCTTTCCGAATATAACTTACTTAATTCAATATTCGCGCTAAAATAAACACTATAACGAACGAACGTTAACTTCAAAAATACCCTGTGACTGCAGTTCAATTACTCACTATCTACACACACATTATTGTCCCGTCACGTTGTCACCCTCTTTTATATACCAGTCTACCCTATATCTAGTAAATACTAGAGCATTCGCCAAAGTACAGGATAGTTCTAGAAAATAGGTGGCGCCACACCAGTCACGTGACCTCGATGACGCAACACTATAATAACGACGTTAACTTCAACAATACGTCTCTCTCTGACTGCAGTTCAATTACTCATTACCTACACACACATTATTCCGTCAAGTTGTCACCCTCTTATATATATATATAACAGACCACCCACCCCCCAATCTAGTAAATGCTAGAGCACTCCCGAAGGAACGGGATAGTTCTAGAAAGCAGGTGGCGTGGCAATAGTCACGTGATCTCGCTGACGCAACAATATATATATATATATTATCCTCTGCAATTAAATTATTGTACTGTTTAAATATTTGTTATGCAATAATTGTTTATATATATATATATGTGTGTGTGTGTACATACATTTCAGAATATATATAAAAAGAGGAGTTCGGTGACATTAGCAGCACTTCCTCCTCACAAAAAGATGCCTGATGACTACTCCAATATGGTTGAAGATTCTGAGTCACATGAAAAAGAAAACTCGACTCTATCAGGTTTAAACGTTGATAACAAAAGTCACAAATGGCTGAGCTATCCAGATTTAAAACTCTTAGAAGAAAATTCAGAAAAGCTTTCTGTGACCATGGAGTTAACTGGTAAAGTATTTACTAACCCTGTCCTGGATATGTCAGATGATGAACTAGAAGCATTTGACCACAATGAAAGGTCAAGGCTGGAGTTATCGGCAATTGTTCTGAACGTCCCAATCATAATCCAGAGAACAGCAACTGACCAACAGCAATTGGAGAAAAGATATACGAACAGACTACCTTCATCAAAGCGACCGTTTAGAGAACAGGTGGGTTCAAAATTGTTTATAGTGTAGAGCATAGGTTGTAAGCTCTGTTTAGTAAGCGTGTAACAAGCTTTCGTTTATACGTAAACGGGATAAAGCTATCAAAGTGTGTAAGGAGACCAGTGGACGTCTTTTTTCGGTAAATTGATGTGGAAAATCCATTAGCATTACGGTTAATGAGCATGTCTAAAAAAGCTAAAGTATTATTATTTTCAAATTCACATGTAAATTTAATGGCAGGAATGGCAAAATAGGTTACCATACTTTTAGTTATAAGTATCGTTTAGATGGAAATAACCTTAACAGTGTATTAACCTTAATACTGTCATATGCTTTCTGAAAATCCAGATACACCAAATCTACACTTTCATCTACATAAGCAGTAACCTTTTCAAAGAATTAAAAAGATTTGTAAGGCAAAATTTTCCCTTAATGAAACCATGTTTCATGACTTTGCAAAGCATCCTTTATCGGACTTTCCAAAACTTTTCGCACAACTGATGTAAGACTAATAGGCCTAGTATAATTACTGGGCAATAATATAGTATAACTGGTAATTATTGGTTTCAATGCTCTGTTATCATAATGATTCCATAAAGTTAACTTTAAAGTTACAAAACTTCTCAAATAATTTAACATAAAGTGATTTGAAGGCATACAGAGGGGTATTTAAACATCTTGATAAAAGCCACGTGCTAGTTTGTTTACTCATCAAAATAAACGCGGTCATTATGGCCTCCGAATCGTGTCCCTGTGTATTGAAGAGCTAGTTAGACAGTGAAAAAGTTAGGGAAAGTTAATTCAGTCAGCGAGTCAGTCAGTTGTTTGGTGAATCGTTTATCATGTTATCAATCGATTAATGAGTGCATTCGTGTACAAGTTTTATTTGTGTTCTAGAACGTTTGGAAATAAGTCACCTTTAAGTTAGTTTTATTTGAAAGTTAGGCCTATCAAAGAACGTAGCCTGTATAATTTATATGTTAAAGTTGAAGTAATAAATCACTTTTGTTATGGTTACATGCACTGGAATTTGCGTTGTTTTTACCGAATAATGAAAAAGTACCCACCCAGCGATAGAAGCCATTATAATACTAGCTTCTATTTTAGCTAAACCATTTTTTTTCCGTTTAAGATAGCCTTTTTTCCCCATTAATTCTAACCATTCAAGTACTACAATAGCATTTTTTTTCCACTAAGTGATCAGTAGCTGTTCCAATCTCCCCTCTGTCTTTATTCATAAAATGTTTATTCATGTTCATACATAGAGCATTTGTCACTTCACTCAACCCTTTACAATTAAATATATCCTTCCACATACTTGGTCCTCAAGCTTCTTTTTGTTGCAGTGATCAGGTAACTCTATGCCCCATATATCTCGAACCTTCGAATAAGACAATGCTATAACAGTATTTATGTATGCTTTTATATTAATAGTTTTCTTTCGTCAAAGATAAATTCAGTATTATATGTATATGTCCTTGTTGTAACAATTTGATTGTGAATTTCACTATTAATAAACTTATTTCATTGACACTACCTTTAAAAGACTAGATATATAAGTACAAGATAAGTCATTGTTGTCACAATATGAATACGAATTTCTATCTTAATGTTGTACCAATATGATTGTCTTAATTTTAAAACTATGTGGTACTTACTGGTGTATTTTTTATCAATAATCATTAACATGACGCTTTCATATGTTAATAAACTTTGAAGCGATTTTGAGTTAAGTAATGAAACTACTTTTAATTTAAATAATCAAGTAAGACTTATCTTGTGATGAATTTTAGCATTCATATTTGACTTTTACTAGCCTCCCCACTATTATCTTAATACAGGTTTTACTATAGAGTGGGTGATATAGTACAGTCCACAGATATCCCTCAGAGTAGTCTGTTAGAGTCCAATAACAGAAAGGTCGAAAAATATTATATCACAGAGTATAGGACTGCTTTCATTACTTTCCGAGTTCATCACAGAAAAGGATTCAACACACACACAAAATGTAAAAACTACAATCTTTAATAGACAAAGACAACCAAAGCAAAAACACAGCACAATGAAAGGAAGCAAAGAGCAAACGAAAGTTTTGCAATGTGTAGTTGAAGTGCAGTAAAATAAAATGTTGTTAAACGTAAACAAAGTTTAATGGAATACTTCTAAGTGATAACCGAAACTACATGAAGAAAACTCCACAGAAACGTATTAAACATGCTATTCAGAAATGTGCTGAACTGAGGAGAGCCTGGCTTTTAATGCAAAAAATACAATTAAAATAACAAAACCAGGTTGCCCATGCCATGCTACCTATGCACGCGTTCTTCGTCCACTGCAATTCAAATGCAAGGGCGAGGCAGCCCCAGGCCACTATCCAATTTGCTGAGAGAAAAGATAATCTGCTACTAGGTATTTTATGAGTTATATCTCGTGCAAGAGATCGTGATTAATGGCCAATTAGTGAACGAGGTCCCATGATCAGTTACAATAACGAAAGGGTAAATTGTTTACTTAAGTGATTTTCTACATTCAAATGGAACACACTGAAAATTCAGAAATTTCCAAAAATGTACATATTATCTAAAGGGTAGCAATCACGTGGTCATCTTCTACCACAACTGTTTAAAATCCTCCAGCATGGCAACTAATAAAACAACGAAGTATGTGTATAATATTTAATATATTGATGCTGTATTGTTTGCTGTATGGTCTGAATTTTTAGTGTTACCATAATCAATCTAGTATGATAAGTTATATATGTAAAATTTTAAAAGTAATGGCCTCTCAAATGGTCTTAAACTTGTTATAGAGAAAACTTTAAAAGTCCAAAAGTTTTGTAAAAAAGTAAAACTCTATGTAACTATATAAATTTTACACATTTGAAAGTTTTATTAAGGACATTGAACAAAATTGATAGTTGAAGTAATTGTTTATCAGAAACCTAATTGACAGTTTCTGTCCTTAATCATAAATTTAAATAAAATTAAACAAAAACACGTTGGTGTAGAAACTGCCTCCATAGGCAGAGTTATAAAACACTTTAAAGAAAACATATATTGTAGGAACTGTTCAAAGATTCTGTGCCTAAATTTAAAACTGTAAACAGAAAGGCAAAATAGTGATGTAAAAACTCAAGGGAGAAGTCATTGTTTGAGAACTCTTTTTTTCTATAGGTTTTATACAAGATGAAAAAGTGTTGCCACTGCAGTGGAGCCTGTCTTCTGGGTCTTCTCTTAACAGTTTTTCCAATCTTCCGATGGATACCTCAATACAATTTCAGAAAATACACCCTGAATGATCTCCTATCTGGTTTCATTATTTTTTTACTTCATATTCCAGAAGGTTAGTGTACGAGATAATATGCTTTATATGCGTCAAAGCAATTTAAAATTATTTGAACTTCAATAACAACAGGTGTTTACGTTGATAAAATAAAGACCTTAAAAAGGACTGTTTACAAGTTTTCACTGTAAAACCCAGTTGTGAAAAATAATATGTAGTTTTACACCAGTAATGTTAAAATAAAGCACTCACGCACATGTGATATAATTAAAGTAGTGACCTCTTATCAGGGGCGCAATTTATGTATGAACATTGAGGGGGTATCAATTCATTTTGCCGGACAGGTATTGATTTTCTTTAAGTTAAAATTAAATTTTATGGAAATAAGTGATAATTACAAATAAAGAATGTTTAAATCACAATTTAATTCAAAGTTTTACATTAATGTGAAGTAGATAAATGACAAATCAGTGGCTAGCAACAAGAGGAAATTTTCTATAACTCTAATTCTAAATTTAGTCTTTCTGTTTACTCAGTCGAATGATGGAACCCATTGGGTAGAAAAGCCTATTCATCTTAAAGGTGCAGTTTTTAATAGCTTATGAAAGTCGAAAAAAGATGACTGGCATTGCTTGGCAAGTAGCCTAATAGGCGAGTATCTTGTGATGAAATATACTTACTTGTTGATATCATTGACTTAACACGTGTGTATCAGTAACGGTAATAGTGTTTGAATATTGAGATTTTTTTTCTAATTTCTGTGTTAGATATCTCGCTTTAGGTGGGCAGGTTGCCTAAAAAATAACTGTTCTGCCTGACGAAAGTATCTCTAGCTACCTAACATTGGGAGCATCCACTAGTTGTCCCCCTTGTCGCTTATAGTTTTACTTCAGGACTCAATATTCTAATATATATATATATATATACACACACACACACATATATATATAACCATTCTAGAGAAAAATTTATTATTCATTGAACATTTTAGTTCCTGTTTTGCAAGATAATGTGTATTGTGTTTTAAAATCTTTACAGGTTTGGCATACGGAGTTCTAGCCTCTGTTCATCCAATTCACGGATTGTACGTGTCTTTCTTCCCAGTTATGGTTTACTTTCTGATGGGAACATCAAAGCATATCTCTATAGGTAAATAATACCTTTCCCCTAGTTCAGACTTAGTTTCTAAGGGAATCATCTAGGCATATCTTTAGAAGAAGATAACATATGTTTTCTTAATTCTCGTTTATATATCTTTAAAGGTAGAAAATACATTTTTCCATTTTTCAGACTTACCTTCTAAAAAGGATCATCGAAACATGCCTATATGGGTAAATACCACATTTTTCCACATAGAGGTTTACCTTCTGATAAGGTCTTTCAGATGTATCTCTGTGAGTAAGTACTACCTTTCTTTTTAGTTCAGATTGATTCATCTGAATGTATTTCTATAGCCAAATAAAATCCCTTTCTTCATAGTCTTAGTATATTTCCTGAGTGGATCATTGAGACATATCTCTACGGGTAAGTATTATATTTCTTTCAGGTTCTAGTATACTTTCTGATGGAATCAGCAACACATACCTAGATAGGTAATAATATATTTCCACCTAATTCTGGTTATATGAAAATGATCATTAGAATTAAGATATTTTTGAACGCATAGGGAATGCTGTTGTGGTTTATTTTCTAAATGGATCCTTGAGACGTATCTTTATAGAAAAGTATTACCTTTCTTTCCATTTCTGGTTTATTTTCTGGTGAAATCAGCAAGACATATCTTTATAGATAAATAATATTTTTACACCTAATTCCTGTATTAGGAGGATCATTAGGATTAAGATAATAAAATCACATCTTTAAAGGTATGGGAAATACCGTTCTGCTTTATTTTCTAAGCGGATCATCGAGACATATCTTTATAAAAAAGTATTACCTTTCTTTCAATTTCTGGTTTATTTTATAAACGAATCATCGAGACGTATATTTATAAGTATAACCTTTCCTTTCAATTGTAGTTTAATTTCTAAATGAATCATCAAGACAAATCTTTGTAGGAAAGTATTACTTTCTTTACAGTACTGGCATATTTTCTAAGTGGATCATCGAGACATGTCTTTATAGGAATGTATTATCTTTCTTTTCAGTTTTGGTTTATTTTCCAAGTGGGCTATCGAGATATATCTTTATGGGAATGTATTACCTTTCTTACCAGTCCTGTTTTATTTTTTCTGAGTGGATTACCAAGATATATCTTTATAGAAATTTATTATCTCTCTTTTGATTTCTGGTTGATTTTAAGATTAGAACAACAAGACATGTTTTAATAGGTAAATAATATCTCTCCATCGAAATTTGGTTATATTAGAGGATCATTAGGATTTAGGATTGAGATAATAAAAACACATCTTTAAAGGTAAAGGGAATATTGTTCTTCCTAGTTCTGGATTATTTTCTAAGTGGATTATCGAGACATATCGCTATAGGAAAGTATTAACCTTCTTTCCAGTTCTGGTTTATTTTCTGAGTGGAATCATCAAAAGGCATCCGTATAGGTGGGTAATATGGTTTCCCTATATTCTTTTACTCTCTGATAGGACAGTAAGGACGTGTTTCTATAGGTATGTAATATCTCTCTTTACAATTTTGCCTTACTTTAAGATGGGTAATATTCTTCTTCTTAGTTTTGTTTCGTTTTAATTGTATAATCGAGACTTAGCAGGAGTAGTAATTTCTTCTCAATTCTAATTTAATATATAATGGTACCATCAAGGACACTATAGGTAGGCCGTTACGTTTATACTAGCTTTCTTTTTTATAAAAGGACCATAAAGACATATCTCTATAGCTAAATAATATATTTCTTTTCAGTTCTATTTTTTATCATGGTTTCATCTACATAAATCTCTGTAGGTAAATATTATTGTTTTTCCCCATATTGGTTTATTATCTGAATGGACCATTGATACACAGTTCTATTGGTAGGTACAGATGGTTGAATACTTTATATTGAAATAGTCTTGAATATGCAAACCAGCGAGTCATGTGACAACCACAGCCAATATAAAGTCGCTGTAGAACGTAATGACATTGTTTGGAGTTTGATAGGTACTGCGATTCCAACAAAGATTGGTTGCTTTTAGGAAGAGTATATAACAGCCCTTTTCAGTGCAAAATTTTCTTCAATTCAGATCAGAAAGATGTGTCCAGATTGGGGTTCTAGAATTTCCATAACTGGGGTTTCCTTTTTCCTAATTGCATTAAAAATCAAAGGAATTTGGATCACCTTGGGGTACCAGGACCATCCATAAAGAGGCCTGCAACAAGTCATACTCAAACCACGGTAAGCAAAGTGCAGTGTCTTGTAGCAGTGACAACCCATAAGCACAAAGGACAGTGGCAAAAACTGTTCTTACATTTGATGTAATAATATGCAACATATTCAAGAAGTATAGTCTGGAAAAGCAAACGTGTCACGTGTAGTTGCTTTCACATCAACTTTACAAAAGGAAGACAAATTGTAGAAAGCTGTATGAGTGGTGCCAAGCCTGAAAGAATGACAGTACCTCGTGGCAATCGACGAAACGTATGTGTAACTTGATAACTAACAAACATTTTCTATCAAACTTTTGGGGAAAATAATTTCCAAAAGTGCTTTACAACATGTCCTGAATCTTTCTGAAGGGATTCATCATCACTGGATACTGTGCTAGGAGTCAAGTAGAGATCAAAAGAGTGCTACAAAGGTCAGGGTGAGTTCTGCTTACTATCAGACTGATGTTCTGAACCAATTGTACCATAAATAATATTGAATTTGTACTGAAACGAGGCCAACAGATTATGGGTTCACCAACATAAGTCTTCCATTCATACTTCTTGTTGAATCGTCACATTCCTCAAGTAACTGGAAAATGAAATGGGTATTCATGCTATTCCATATAAAGACATACTGTTCAAGCCATCAGACATAACACTGATGGATTTCTATGCAATTGGACTGTTGAAATTGGTGCTGGGAACCCTATTCCTAATACACTAGATGAATTATGCAAACTGCGCAGGAAATAATGATGTAGTTTTGACATTACTGTCTTATGAGAAATCTTTTTTCAATAGAAACTATGCTCCAGAGCTATTGCCAAGATCATGGTTGTCAGACAGAGCATGGCTAGACATGGTGACATGGATTGTAACGAAGTGACGAGAATCTAAACTAATTTTAAATATAATGTACCCAACCTTCCATATTACCTTTCTTTCCAGTTATTGTTTTTTCGTGAATGGACCATAAATACACACACATATATAGCTAGGTATATTGTAACAATGAATGAGATACTGTGAGTAGCCCTTACATAACTTATAAATAACTGGATTATTTATCTTTGCAGTTCTGGAGTCCTTCTGATAGAATCATTGCAACTTAAGTATATATTGGTATATACTAGTACTAGTTTACTTTCTAATTAGAACAGTGAGGCATTGTTTCTGGGGGTAATGCCTTCTTTTCCAGTTCTGATTTAGTTTCTGAAGAAATGATTGAGACATACCTATATAGGTAAACCATACCTTTTTACCCAGAACTGGATTGCTTTCTGATTGGAATATTCCTGTAGATAAGTGTTTAGTTTCTTCCCAATGCTGGTTTATTTTTGATTATATAACCGAAACATTTTTCTGTAGGTAAGTATACTACCTTTCTTCCCATTTCTTATTTTCTTTTTTGAGGAGATCACCAATAGTTATCTCTATAGTAGGTATGAAATATACTTTTTCCTACATCTATTTTCATATAAGAGACTGAATCATAAAGACGCATCTCTATAGGAAGGTAATATTTTTCTTGACAATCCTGTCTTATTTTGTGATGGAATAATCAATATATCTTGGTGTATGCAATACCTTTCTTTCCAATTCTTCTTTCCTATATAATTTAATCATCTTGATAGTTGTCTAGAGTTAAGTTGTATCTTTCTTCTCAATTTAGGTTTGCATTCTGATATGATCATTGAGACATATCTCTATAGGTAAATAATACCTTTCCACCTAGTACTGGCTTATCTTCTGATAGGATCACCAGAACATACGTATGAAGATCAGTATTACCTTTTATTCCCCATTTCTAATTTGCTTTCTGATAAAAACATTGAGTTATACTTTCTGACAGGATCGTTAAGAAACATCTCTTTAAATAAACAATACTATTGTATTTAATATTCCAATTTAGACGTTTTGTATTGTGTGCTAGAAGAAATTATTACATGGCATAGTGATGGCTTGTGACACTTAGAAATTCCCTTAGTGTCTAGAACCTAGATTTGACATGACATCTCGAATATTATAGAATCTTGTAAAAAACAAATATTGTAATACAAAAATATGAGTGAGTTAATAACTGGATTAATTAGACAGCGAGTAAGTTTGTCAGTGAGTTGACTAGCCAGTAATTGAGTCAGTTAGTTAGTACGTCAGCTAAGCACTGAATATTTTGAATGTTTGTTTCAACAGAGTAGAGGATTTGTAAGCTATTGTTTAGATTTATTTATCTCTTATGACATAGCTTGTAAAACTTGTACGTAACAGTCGAAGAAATAAATCACTTTCATTATCGTTAAGTGGACTGGACTTTGCATTATCTTTGCCGAAAAATCAAATAGAACCCACCTAACAACAGAAACCGTTACAAAACTACACGGCTGTATATAGGTTTTCTCCTTATACGAACTAGGTTGGAAAGCAACCTGCCACATGAGCCAGTATAGCATCTTGATGTGGATCCAAAAAATGAGTCTTTCAAGAAAGGTTTGGGTTGTTTTGATTAGACAAAAAGAAAAAGGTTGGCACTAGTTTCGAGGTCTGGGTCGTTGGACCAGAGCCGTAAATGGACCCCTAACCTGACCCGAGACGATGTGAACCAACATGGAGAAATTAACTTCAATAACTTGTAAATGTAAAGTTAAACGATGTAGTAAGGAAACATGCTTGAAATGTTGTAGATGTGAATGTGATGGTTTAAGTGTAGCGATTAAACTGAATCGTGGGTCCAGGTCGGATGATGGAAGAATTTATTCGAATATATCTCAATCGATTTGACATACCAGCTGAATTGGAGATTTGTCAATTTATTACTGCATTAACAGCGAAACATAAAAAAGGGGCATAACAGTATCGTTATTTTCAAAAAGGAAGATGGGATCAAATATAAGAAACCATTAATCTCAATATTTTGTGAAACTAACGGCACACTAAAGCCCAAAGATGCAGCGTTGAAGTCGAAACAGGTCCATGAAACATTAAAAAATGATGTCACTAGCGATACTCAAATTAAAAATGCCATTTATACAACGAAGAGTAAATATAAGAAGAATTGTATAATAGCCAGTAGTTTACTATATCCATATAGTTTTCCTCATGTCATATTTTCATTAATATTTAATTCTTTTTTTTTTTCGTTTTACAAGTTGTACCGAGCTTCATTCATCGAGATCTATCGAAATAACCCTAAATCACCGGTTTCCGGAATGATCTCCCTGTTGACCATCGTAGGCTCGGTACTAAAAAATGTTGGACTAGCTCACGTGGCAGGAGTTAAAAAAGAAAACAAACAAATCTTACCACAATGCTGACAAATTTGTTATCAAACTTTTTTCCCAGTTCAGGTTTAGCTTCTGATGATCACTGAGACATGTCTCTTTAGATAGTTATTATCTTGTTACCTAGTTTTGTTTTACTTCCCGATGGGATCTTAAAGACACGCCCCTTAAAGTTTAATTAGATAATGTTTTTCTCCAAAATACTGACGTGTTTTTTGATGGGATCCTTAGAATATATCTGTATAGGTAGATAATATTTTTCTTCCCAGTTGTGATGGAATCGTTAAGATATCTCTGTTGGAAAATATTACTTTCCTTTTCTGGTTTAGTTTCTAAAGGAATCATGGGAACATACTTCAATAGATAAGTAATACCTTTCTTACCAGTTCTAGTAAAGTTCCTGATAGGCAATTTCTGTTTCTGTACTAACCATTATGTACAGAGTACTTGTTCTGACACAAGACTGATTTCCATCCTTGTTTTGTTAGGCAAACTACCTGACAAATATATTCTACCACCCACATATTTAGATAGATTTAGATGACTGTTATTTTCTTATGTGCATGCTTGACCAGCTTACTTGGGGTTCTGATGTTAGGCATTATTCGAATATTGTTTGTATTATTTATTACGTAAAGACTCTTTCTGCCTAGTGTTAGACTTATCCCACTGTATGATCATCAGTATATCTACCATATTTTGATTGCAAATTGTTCGGATATATTACAATGATTTAAATATTTTTTTATATTTTGAACAAATATTTAATATTATCAGTAAAAGAAGCCTCTTAGAGATACAGTTTTTACTAATATGTGTAAAGATTCTGTAGTGTTTGAAAATTAACGTTATAGGATGAAAAATAAACAACTGTAGTTACAAGCATAATTAAAATATACCTTGCATTGTAATGAAACGTTTCATTAACAGGAACATGTGCTATCATCAGTCTAATGATTAGCAATGCCATCAATGCTATTGGAGCAGTGGACAATGAAGAATTATCAAGGCACAATGTATCATTTGGACTTTACCAGGAAAACACTAGTCAAAGGCTACTAGAAAATGAAATCGCCTCACCCATAAATTCTTCATGGCCTCCTACTAAACAAGAAGCATTTGTTGTCTTATGTTTAGCCACAGGCTTATGGCAGGTATGAAACAATGCTGTGAATATTTGTAACTCCTTCCTGTGGAAAACTAAGAATTTTATGTTCATCGAATTATTTTGCCGTTGTATCACTCTGTACACATGGTGAATTTATAGCATGTAGAACCTGTCTTTTAGTTTTACTAATGAATGAACAGTTGACATGGGTTGTAAATGTGCCATGGAAAATATTGTTACGTCTTTGGTCGTTTGATAATTTCCTGTAAAATTTCTTCCCGAGGAACTTCAGCAATACAAGTCCTTTCTTAAATAAAACCAGTTTATTCTTTCAATACAACTTTGCAATACACAGAATTTCCACAGTCACTTTAACTTAAACACACGCTATAATTCACAACGATTCACGCATTTCAATTACGATCTATACCGCTCACTTGACTCAATTATCTGTCTCTATAACTGTATATCTGCGATTATCTATGCCGTCACCTCTCCCCCGCTTTATTTGCCGGGCTTATATATACAAAAATAGAGGGCTCGTAGAAAAGACTAGAGTTGCCAGGAACAGACATGATCCTTGTAGAATCTCATGACGTGTTACTAGTGTCACGTGACTTCCGCTGTCGTAACAATATGTATCTATTCGAATAAGAATACAGTTGATTCTCCATTTATCTCTGTTACGTATTAGAATTTCGGATAGTCCAAAGCCGAGTTAACTGATAATTTAAATTTAGTAGTTAAATTGTACTTTGGATTTAGTATTTAAATATATGCCGATATTTTAGTCAATTTACGATATTTGCCAACAAGATTAATACACACTGTCTTCTTTTTTTAATACAAACACGTTTTAATATACACACAATAATACAATTTATAGTAACAATTATTACAAATAGTTATTAGAAACAAAGATTTATAAACAAAAGTTTCACAAACTTACAAACAATATAAAATCTTTTTTCTAGTTTGGAACTCCCTTGATATCTTATCGAAGGTTTCCGATGAGCGAGTTAATTACGAGTTAATGTAGATACGATCCGATCCGCTGGGAAGCTAGCTAGCTTTGTCCTTGGCCACACACACTAGATTTTCCGCGATGAATTTATATGTTTTCATAAAAATACTAATGTCCTAAGAGAGTCCACTGAAGTTAAACGATTTGTAACGTTCGAAATTTATAAATATTCCTGGTCAGATATCTTAAG